TATGACATTGCAGGAATTGTGATATACACAGCTGTCCTTTAAAGCAACCTAAACTATATATAAAAACATATATAAGGATACTCAAGTATTCTTAATGTACTAACATCTTGAAAACAAGTTGTAGTTTTTAAATGAAATACACAATTGTTCTCCAGAAAGTTACACAGATCTTCAACTCCTGGATTAGAACATAAGAAAACCATTAGCTATAATACAAAGCGCCTTTAAGATGGCGTGGCGAGTTGAAATTTCCGTGGTAAATAAACACACTTGAGGAAAATACTTTAAAGTATGACACACACTTGAAATATCCATTTCATTTTTTTGAGTCATAGTTAAATGTTACAGAGACGGGCATTGTTCGTTATCTCCATAAATAGGTCTACTCCATTGTTGAATACAAACGTCAATTCTATTTTATCTTTAGATTGCCTGATCCTTGATCTACGAACATACTTCGACCTTTTAAAAGCGTAAATAAATCTTTAGTAACAACTTTTATAGTTCATGGTATTGTTAGTCAATTATCTATTGGAATTATCTGCGCAATATTCTGCAGTATGAATAAAAGAAATAAATATATCTCACTGTCCTTTTGTGATAATACAAAATTACTTTTGTTTGGCCTAGATACTAAAATTTATGAAGCATGAACTTTACGAAAATATACCGACGACTCAAGTCAGGTTTCTACATTGAACTAAAGTTAGGGACTTGAACACAATATAGCGGAGTTGTTAAATCTCTAAAACGGCAATTCAATAAAATAATCACGCTTTTATTTCTTATACGTAACCATAAAAAATGCACGCATTTAAACAGGAAACTTAAATTGAAATTTCTATTTTTAAACCTACACCTTAGGATATACTGCTCCTGTCAACTGCTTATCTCCATTAATCAATAAATATTCCCGAATAAGCCCACCAGCTGCTTCGTGACATTGACCTTGGAGTAATGTCTCTATCTGTATAATCAGGGCAAAAATTGATGTATAAAGGTTATTTAATTAAGGTGGTCTCTAAGTCAGGTTTGTCATACGTATTTATAGGGCCATAGCGATTTGAGATATCATTACAGTCCAGATTTATCTTGACTTGCGTCTGCTGTTATCAGCAGATTGAATTACACATAATGTCCCTCTAGTATTACGTATATTTATATACATCAAACAGCGTCGTCGTTTTCGTCAGAAAATGTAAATGTTATAACCTATCTTGACCTTAGCAAAATATATAACATCATATTAGAAATGAACACTGCAGCCAGGGTACATAAACTGTATATCGTTAGATAATCAATAGGGCCTGACGTTGTTGTTGACGCAACTCTAAATATAATAACGACGCTAATGTAGTAATTGTTACATTAAGCGTTGCGACCGTTACGCTTAATGTAATAAACTTATTTTTGTTACATTAAGAGTTCAAATTGTTACGCTTAGAGTAATACAAAATAAATTATTACACTAAGCGTTGTGGTTGTATTTAAATTACCGCTAATGTAACAATTTTTATACTGTTACGGAAGTACACTGTGTGTCGATTACAAGACAATATAGCAATAACATACTATAATGGTGTATGTTCCCGTCAAGGTTTTGAGGGGACGGAGGTATCGGTGGCCCAACGGTCTAGGTCGTTGCGCCCCGTGATCGTTGTAGCCTATCACTTCCTAGGTTTTGAGTTCGAAACCCGTTGACATTCTGGTTGCCTTAAAAACATATGGATGTTGTGCTGGCACATGCCTCTAAGTTTAAAATCACATCTAGCTTGTTGATCATGAATGGTTTGTGTAAAATTTGTTTTATTATTTAGCCAGATTACATCGTATCTTCAACTGTGATCTGTGAGGAGACTAGGTTTCCACGAATTCAATATTGCGATGTTATGTTATGCAGGGTTGATCGTTAAAAAGATGATAAGATTATATGCAATTTGATCACGTGTAAATTCTTATTCTTAATCTAAAATGTACAGCCAAAACCTGTGACCTTCCAAAAAAACCGAATATTTTTTTCAAGCACAATATGTTGGTGTTAAGAAATATTTCGATGCATTTTGACTACAAAAGAAGCTAGTTTTATCAATGCAACTATATCTTAGGAACAACATAACAAAGGAGCAACACAAAGCAATAACCCTTTGATTCCGTGACCTTGAAAGTTGGACCAAAAAAGGGTGGTGTTGTACAGTCGATTAACGTCCGCGCAACAGCTCAAGTCATTTGCAGATAATATTATAGATACATGACATGCATGGCAGATTCAATGTATGTACCCAATCCACACCGTTATACTGACTCCAGGCCGTTCAGTTCCTTGCTCCTTGCAGTATTAATGTCTCAAGTGGGAAGTGCCATTTCAAATGTCTTTGATATGACACGGCTGACGGGGATCATCATAATGTGTATGCATACAAAAAGTGAGGTAACTGGCATTTTAGCCACATGCAAGGTTTGATGACATTCTAATTATTTATCTTATCATAACTGAAGCTATCATCGGAAAATAAAGTGCTGACGTCCATACATCCGGATAGACAGACGGACTGACGAACAGACGGACAGGGTGATTCCTATAGGGCTTCGCATCTCGATGAGGGGCCCTAATAATACCCAAAATGACATAATAATACAAAACAAAAAATGTCCCCCTTCATTTCGGACTTTATTATACTATGGACCTTCTTAAATTTGTCAATAGTACAGTTTCGGAGCTTAATGTAATAAAAATAACTTTATTACATTAAGCGTAGACTTTGCAACGCTTATTGTAATAATTATTACATCAAGCGCCGTTATTACATTAAGTGTTGCATCAGTTGTTCTCGACTTATATCACGTGCCCTGACGTTCATATCATAGTCTCACTGTGATTGACAAGCAAATAATAAATGTATATCTTAATGAATGTGTTGTGATATTCTATTATTAGAATCTTCACTATGTAGGAAATAAAGAGTGTATATCGCTGAGAAATTAATTCTTTGAACTACGTTATGTAAACTCCTGTATTCTATATTACTAAAGTATTAAGGAACAATGCAAAATTCCCTGGCCTTGGGACATGAACCAGACCTTGCTTGAAAAATATGCTCTTTTAACATTTGTATTGGTTTTCATCCGTCCGTCCGTACGTACTTACGTACATACATACATACATCTATTTGTTTGGCCACATGTGAAATATTTGCTCGCACGTGAAACATTTGCCCATATATGTATCTAGTCGGACTTGTGTTTACCTACGAATGTGTCTCTGGTATACGCCTGGTACATGTTCGCTGTACTCCGTAGGAATTTTATAAACAATGCATTTCTGAACACAGTGTTGTGTGCCAACCACCTGTTAAGATCAGACAGATACAAAACACATTTAAAACGTTTTTCAATAATTACGATTCACGCATGGAAGCCAATACCCGCCAAAACCCAATTAAAACGTAAAAGAGACCAGGGTTGTTTTTCATGTAACTGGCTAGTCAAGCATGGAGGGTTCTTCATATTTTGTGCGGGATTATTCTTGAATTATTTGGTCCCTAAACCTCCATTCGCTGAGATCATTCTCCACTAAGACATCCTCCGGTGAGATCACTAATCCCTAAGTATACCGCTCCCTGTGTGGGATCAATGGCCCCTAAGTATATCGCTCCCTGTGTGAGATCACTGGCCCCTTGGCATACCGCTTCCTGTGAGAGATCACTGGCCCCTAAGTATACCGCTCCCTGTGTGAGATCACTGGCCCCTAAGTATACCGCTCCCTGTGTGAGATCACTGGCCCCTAGGTACAATGCTCCCTGTGAGAGATCACTGGCCCCTAGGTATACCGCTCCCTGTGAGAGATCACTGGTCCCTAAGTATACCGCTCCCTGTGTGGGATCACTGGACCCTCCCTGTGTGAGATCACTGGCCCCTAGGTACAATGCTCCCTGTGAGAGATCACTGGCCCCTAGGTATATCGCTCCCTGTAAAAGATCACTGGACCCTAGGTATACCGCTCCCTGTGTGAGATCACTGGCCCCTAAGTATATCGCTCCCCGTGTGAAATCACTGGCCCCTAGGTATATCGCTCCCTGTGTGAGATCACTGGCCCCTAGGTATACCGCTTCCTGTGAGAGATCACTGGCCCCTTGGTATACCGCTCCCTGTGAGAGATAACTGGCCCCTACGTATACCGTTCCCTGTGTGAGACCACTGGTCCCAAGTTATACCACTCCCTGTGAGAGATCACTGGCCCTTAGGTATACTGCTCCCTGTGTGAGATCACTGGCCCCAAGGTATACCGCATCATATGTGAGATCACTGGCCCCTGAGTGTACCGTTCCCTGTGTGAGACCACTCACTGGCCCCTAGGTATACCGCTTCCTGTGTGAGATCACTGACCCCTAGGTATACTCCTCCCTGTGTTAGACAACTGGCCCATAAGTGTACCGCTCCCTGTGTGAGATCACTGGCTCCTAGGTATACCGCTCCCTGTGTGAGATCACTGGCCCCAAGGTATACCGCTCCCTGTGAGAGATCACTGGCCCCTAGGTTTATCGCTCCCTGTGAGAGATCACTGGCCCCTAGGTATCCTGCTCCCTGTGTGAGATCACTGGTCCCTAGGTATACCGCTCTCTGTGAGAGATCACTGGCCCCTGGTATACCGTTCCCTGTGCGAGACCACTGGTCCCAAGGTATACCGCTCCCTGTGAGAGATCACTGGCCCCTAGGTATACCACTCTCTGTGAGAGATCACTGGCCTCTAGGTATACCGTTCCCTGTGCTAGCCCACTGTTTCCAAGGTATACCGCTCCCTGTGAGAGATCACTGGCCCTAAGGTATACCGTTCCCTGTGTGAGACCACTGGTCCCAAGTTATACCGCTCCCTGTGAGAGATCACTGGCCCCTAGGTATACCGCTCCCTGTGAGAGATCACTGGCCCCTAGGTATACCGCTCCCTGTGAGAGATCACTGGCCCCTAGGTATACCGTTCCCTGTGTGAGACCACTGGTCCCAAGTTATACCGCTCCCTGTGAGAGATCACTGGCCACTAAGTGTACCGCTCCCTGTGAGAGATCACTGGCCCCTAGGTATACCGCTCCCTGTAAGAGATCACTGGCCCTTAGGTATACCGTTCCCTGTGTGAGACCACTGGTCCCAAGTTATACCGCTCCCTGTGTTAGATCAATGGCCCCTAGGTATACCGCTCCCTGTGTGAGATCACTGGCCCCAAGGTATACCGCATGATATGTGAGACTACTGGCCCCTAGGCATATCGCTCCCTGTGAGAGATCACTGGCCCCTAGGTATCCTGCTCCCTGTGTGAGATCACTGGTCCCTAGGTATACCGCTCTCTGTGAGAGATCACAGGCCCCTGGTATACCGTTCCCTGTGCGAGACCACTGGTCCCAAGGTATACCGCTCCCTGTGAGAGATCACTGGCCCCTAGGTATACCACTCTCTGTGAGAGATCACTGGCCTCTAGGTATACCGTTCCCTGTGCTAGCCCACTGTTTCCAAGGTATACCGCTCCCTGTGAGAGATCACTGGCCCTAAGGTATACCGTTCCCTGTGTGAGACCACTGGTCCCAAGTTATACCGCTCCCTGTGAGAGATCACTGGCCCCTAAGTATACCGCTCCCTGTGAGAGATCACTGGCCCCTAGGTATACCGTTCCCTGTGTGAGACCACTGGTCCCAAGTTATACCGCTCCCTGTGAGAGATCACTGGCCCCTAAGTGTACCGCTCCCTGTGAGAGATCACTGGCCCCTAGGTATACCGCTCCCTGTAAGAGATCACTGGCCCTTAGGTATACCGTTCCCTGTGTGAGACCACTGGTCCCAAGTTATACCGCTCCCTGTGTTAGATCAATGGCCCCTAGGTATACCGCTCCCTGTGTGAGATCACTGGCCCCAAGGTATACCGCATGATATGTGAGACTACTGGCCCCTAGGCATATCGCTCCCTGTGTGATATCACTGGCCCCTAGGTATACCGCTCCCTGTGTTAGATCACTGGCCCCTAGGTATACTGCTCCCTGTATGGGATCACTGACCCCTAAGTATACCGCTCCCTGTGAAAGATCACTGGCCCCTAGGTATACCGCTCCCTGTGTGAGAACACTGGCCCAAAGGTATACCGCATCATATGTGAGACCACTGGCCCCTAGGCATATCGCTCCCTGTGTGATATCACTGGCCCCTAGGTATACCGCTCTCTGTGTGAGATCACTGGCTCCAACGTATACTGCTCCCTGTATGGGATCACTGACCCCTAGTTATACCGCTCCCTGTGTGAGATCACTGGCCCCTAGGTATACCGCTCCCTGTGTGAGATCACTGGCCCCTTGGTATACCGCTCCCTGTGTGAGATCACTGGCCCCTAGGTATACCGCTCTCTGTGTGAGATCACTGGCTCCAACGTATACTGCTCCCTGTATGGGATCACTGACCCCTAGTTATACCGATCCCTGTGTGAGATCACTGGTCCCAATTACCATTGCTTCTCCTACTCCTTCCCTGCGCAAGACCATCGGTCCTTAACCCACTAGACCCCATTTCCCTATTTTGTTTTCAAGAGATCGGTACCCGTCTTCCTATCTCATAAGGAAGATAACCCCCCCCCCCCCACTTACACACACTCTGCCTTCCCAAACCCTGCATATTCCCTTCTGTATAAGCATTTGCCTTTGACTAACTACGAGATCTCCATCCAAGAACAGTCACCTCCTAAGATCACCAACCACTCTTCATTTATCATATAAAATAATCACGTAAGAGTCTGTGTTCATACTACCGTGAATTAGCTCTCCTTCATTCAACCACACGAACGTTCGTCATACAGACAACACCCTTTTTAACTATTTAAAAATTCTCTATCAAAACATCACACGTCAAACAGATCTCGTATCTCCGAGCAGTAAACGGAGTGTAGGTTTGTGTCAAAAAGACGGTGGTGTTATTGCCAGTCAGGGTCTGCATTACGGGGTATATTAATAGAACAGTGTTAGCTGCCATGCCAAAAAATAGGCCTGAGGATCCAATAGCCCCTCTGGTTATACGTTTAGATTTACCTTGTTTTCAAGAGGACTTTTTCCGCTCGATTTTTTTTATCAATCAAACAAGTCTGAATGCACAAGTCTAAGTCAGCGCAGCAAATCGAAAATAGAAACAGCCCATTGAATAATATGAAGTGAAGCAAGACTCCTCTCACCTGCACACCTGTCTTACATTGGACTTTGAAGCACAGGTGTACTCGAAGGCACACAAGGGACCCGTGTATTTTATTAATTAGGACATGTATAGAGACGTATTTCAATGATATAATTAAACTACAAGTGAGCTAGACAGTAATATATATATATATATAACTGATATAGCGAATTTGGCAAATCAATATAGTTATACAACACATAAATACTTGTAGACGTAATTTTCACCAAGCCGAAATAGTCACATAAAACCCGTTCGATAAATAAATAAATAAATGTTAATCTTATCTCGTACTTCTTGTTCGCCATATTTTGAAACACAATGGCCAAGATAGTTCCAAGTTATGTGATTTCCTCAAACCATAAAAAGCTGTTTTATTGTAAATTATGTTTCTGGTGGATAAAGTACCCCCGTGTGGGACCCCATATAGTATTTCCATCAATAGTAGAGATCCTCCCATCAGAGGGGGTTATTTATAGGTCAGAGGTCACGAAGTGACAGCAGGTTTCTCTACATTTAACACACTCGCCCCTCTGTGTAGCTGAAATACCGCCGAAATATGTAATCTTTTACTGTAATCATTAATCAGCTTAGGGGTTCTCAACATCGTTTGATATTAAGGCGAAATGGGCACGAGTTTATTTATAAATATAGCCCCGAGACGTAATTATTTCCTCCTCAAACAGCACAGAGCCTGTTCACATGGGTTTGGATTAGAGTTAAGCTTGCTATGTACACTCACGGCTATCGCCCTATAAATCTGATCTCTTCAACCGCACCGTTATATATCCCGAAACCCCGAAATAAATAAGCGTCTACACAAACGTGCGAGCCCAAATTGCTCTCTATACACACCTACAAATTCTTACAGGCGACGCTGGAGCAACCTAGCGTGTGTATTATATATGTATGTATCCAAAGTGGACGACACAGTGTGTCGGTGTTTAGGCGGGTAAACAGGCCATGGTAGTAGCTCGCATGGTCGTAAATGCTGGACCATTGTGATAACCAATAAAATCTATGTCATTTTGATGTGTACGTGAAAACAGCACACATACGTTGGTAGGTATGTTAGATCTGACGACCCATGCGCGTTTGTTTTGATTGGCTTGTAAGACAAATAATCGATAAGAATGTTCAATTCTTTATCAGAGAGCTGGAGGGAAACGGGTCGGTGCACCATAACATATTAAAGTACACGTTGCTAGAAAGAAACGGTTCAGACTGTTAAAACAAACTTCAACATCAGGATTCAAAATGTAAATTTTGTTGACTTTCATGGTCATTTTCGTAGCCGACTAGAACGAATTGTATTACTTACCCAAAACAAGAAATTGAACGCAAACATCAAATACTTGATGCATGTATGACAGCTTCCTAACGCCATTGCTGCAGGTTGTAAGATTTAGTGTGTAGTTGGTCGAGTTAAAATCACTGTATAGCAATCCCACTATATACACAAGGAATGTTAATAAAATCCTCCTCTTCACGGCAAGTGTGTACCACCACGGTATACCTGGATCGTACTCCACTACAATTCTGCCGAGACTATTCACGCCTCAATGATAGCGCACACCGCCAGGCTACAACATGTAGGCCCTGCTATTTGTTGTTGTCCAACATAAAACGTCACGCTCAAGGCCCACTCGATACCAGTCTTTGCTACAAGATGCAATCTCTTCTCTGTTGCTGAGGAAACACGGACAGATATTTGCGGTAATGTGAATCATGCACAGAGCTGGGACATAAGCAATGTAGTGTTAAAGCACAGGCATATCAAACCACCAGGCTGAATAACCTAAATGTGACACAATATGTGGGCACGTTTCTTTATCAACAATAAACCTCAGTTTGTGTAGATGCTTTCCTATATCGACGAATCTTTTATAAAGGTCAGTGTGGTCAGCATATATGTTGCATTAGTAATTTTGCATTATCGATTTCATGATGAAGTTCTTTCATTATTCAGGGGGTCGTTGCTGGCTGAATGTGTGTGGGTAGGTTATTTCAGTAGATATAATAATATGGACAAGTAAATGGGTTTTGTGCACTGAATTCAAATTAACTATCCTAACTTTGAATAGCAACTTTCTTCCAAGAAGAATACGTTCACTGTGACACAATGTTAGGAAGATTTTACTTCCGGTGAAGCTGAACGTTATGCCAAGAAGCCACAAATTTAACGTGTTTTACATACAAACGACATTAGTAATGAATGGAGCACAACATTATACATTATTCATGTTGGGAAGAAAGGTATTTTGTTATTTAATCGATCCTTTTTTCATGGAATGTACGTGGGTATAATGGGAGAGTTAGGAGTTCACGTACGTGGTACGTAGGAGATAGCGGGTTCGTGGTTTAAGTGGTCATAAGTCCCGAGATTTACCGTAAACTGCACGCAATATTTTGATTAATTGGAATACTGTATGTTCATTCATAAATGTATGCGGGGGATTTCGTGGCGGGGCGAGGGGATCCACGAAAATTGATCCTCACGAATATTCTAGGATTTCACAGTATTAGTCAGAGTACACACGCATCGTCGTTCTTCTTTTGGATTTGGTTTTGGATTAAACACCTCTCCGTCATTTTTGTTTTGGATTTTTTTCTTCGCCATTACACAATTACAACAAGAAAATACACACATGTCAACAGAATCTTAATTCCACCCGAAAATGACAAAATATGAAGAAATGTTTGCACATTGATCTTTGAATCAGTACAAGAAAAGTGTGACCATGAATTGTTAGTGTAGGCGTCGACATCCACCATGTAATTATAGGCCAACACAAGTGTAAGTAATGTCACGTTCCCAAAGGAGAACAAGGTAAATAACAACGAACCCAATAGGTATACTAACTTCCTATCACACAAGGCAATGCTCGCGCTGTCAGTCGCCATCAACCCTAATGGCAAAATTGAAAACTCTTTGGGGATTTGAAAATTGCATCGGCGGAAGTGCAAAATTGCCAAAATTACACTTATATTTTACTGCCTCAATGACTGAAATCGCCAGCACGGACAAATAAAGCTCTACCAACCCACCAAGGTACTCCATTATGTACGCAATGGGGTGTGTTTATCTCCCCACCTGCTATAGCCTCAAATATGAGGCTCGTGTCACAGGTAAGGGGCCATGGGGTGCCCAGGTGGGTGTCTGTCTGCACCCTAAGACGATCACTATACACATGCTCACAGTTAACAAGATGTCCAAAGGGCCTGTATCGGTCACCTGGGTATTTAATTCAATAATGCAAAACTTTATACTCCTTTAGAAGGAAAAGCTATCGCTTGATCAGCCTCACCTCACAGATACAAACTCCCGAGGGGTGGGGACAAAGAGAAATTTTTGATTTCTTGTTCAGCAATGCTATTAAGTTATGGGATGGTAATTTCAAAGATACAATCTGTGCAAGGGACCAGACCCCACGACAAATTATCAATTATAATTGTATTTATCTTTTGATGCTCAGCATAAAATTAGAATTGGTTTAATTTCCTTTTAACGAAGTATGTTTTTGACCAAATTTGATATTGGATTAAAATCCGTTCAGTCGTTTATGAAAAGTTGCAATACATAATAAAAGGGTTCATTCCCACTCAGCCAACATCTTAAAAAAACATTATATGTAGTTACATGTATTTACCTGGACAAATTTAGGTATAGTCTATTTCAATACTTACATGCATAATTCACCTGGTCAGCTATAAACATGCTATTAGAAACTTGTAAAAAAAGGAAAAGTAATGGCAAAGAAATAAAAAATGTTTAAATAAATATCTTTATAGACAGATATATATACCAGATGTATGAAGACATGAAGAGAACTAGTGGTTTATACAACAGAAACATAATCATCATTACATAGTATAACTATTCTTCATTCTGTTTTTTAACATAAACCAACCTTTATAAGATGTTATATTAATTTGTGATTGTCATTATACTGGTTTATCAAGACATTAATTATAAAAGTAAAACAAAATTGTTGTCGATATAAAAACAATTATTATTCACTCTAGATGTGAGAAGATGATTATTTACTTTGCACCAATAATTTTCTTTGTATTTTTCACTACTATTTTTATGAAGTTATAAGATATTTGACTTTTGAACTGTAATAGTAATAGAAGATATCTGGAAAATGGTAGAGGTGGAAATATTTGGTTCAAGACGGATTCAAGTATTCAGTTAAGACTAGACGTAATGATAGATGTTATTGGAGATGTGTAGATCGCCAGTGTCCATCAACAGTGACCACACTGAACAACATCCATGTGACGTTCACGACCAATCACAATCATCCAGGAGATACCATTGGTCTGACGGCTTTTGCTTTCGTCAAAAACGTCAAGAAGCGGTGTCGTAAGGAAGCTGAACCAATTCCTTCTGTGTCTGATGAGAAACTTGGAATCTGTTTGACAGAGATTTTGATGCTGCAGTTGAGAAGATGATTCAGAGACTTGGGTTGAAGGTGACCGTCAGTACTGCAATCATTTTGATCACGATGGAGCACGTACAAATCACGTCGAAGGCTGGTACAGCATACGTAACCGGATATAGAAGCGTCCACATATAAACATCTTCTCCGTGGTGAAACTGCTGCAGGGAATCCAATCTACCAACGATGTAAAGATTCTGCAGAATCAGGCGGGAGGAAGAAGGCGTGCCAAGAAAAGGAAACATCGACAGATAAGTTCAAAGATATTTAGTGCTATACGATATTGATCATACTGTAAAGTTTAAAAAAAAATCATATTCGTGATCCTTGTTGTTTCTTTGTTAACTAGTATTTGAAAAAGGTGTTAAAATGTAAGGTTTAATGTTGATCATAATTTTTTTTATTGTGATTTACATATACATACATCTTGATATATATCTTTGTATAATCAAAATGATTCCACAGGTAAGTTGTTACCTGAGAATCGGTCAATTTACCTTACCTATAATTAGTACCAATTGTTCTACCCCTTTCACAACATAACCTATTCACTATACTAAAATATGATCTGTTGGCTAATTGGGAGATATCAGTAAAAATTGACAGGCGACGGTCGCCGGACCCCGCAAAATTCTTAGGGCTCCCTTAGCCCTTCAGGCCAGGTGAGCTACATAATCATTATCCAGTGAAAATAATTAGGACCATCACTTCAAAACCAAACACTGTTTATAGCTGTCATTTGTGATCTCTGGTTTACTAAAAGCACAGGCATTATGACCGCCTTTGCTCAAGAGGAAATACATATATGGTGCATAATAATGATAATAATAAAACCCTTGGATATTGGTATTGGTTTTCAGCATAAATCATAGAGAATGCTGAAGGATCAAGAAAACACCACATGATATGTTGACCATAGAGAACTTCCCTATGGCCCAACAATCTTCATCAACGTGCGAAACTCTGTTGTGAAATCACATGTCAGTTGTTGACATCTTACACGGAAATCCTGATATTTGATAAAGCCAATGAGTATCAAGTCAACTGCGGAACGTTAACACATTTGACTGAGGAAGCAGAGATATAATACATAAAAATGGAAAAGTCATAATAGTGAAATCGAAATAACACCTACCATAGAGACTGGAAAAATATTGCTGTTGATTTTGTTGTAGAAAAATGTTGATGTCAGCGGAGGACGAGTTTTTTTCTTGGCATTCTGTTGTTTTAAAGAAAGTATACACTTTATACGTGTTTGTATCTATAATTCAATCATTTTTTATATTTATTTCGGATTAAACTATAAATATTTGAATTGAATCTGAAAGTGAACTAAAGCACTTTGTGAGCTATTCTGATGAATTCAGTCTCGTGTATGGTACAATACTGTTTTGAAGTGTTTAACTACATGTATCGTTGTCATATTTCGATGTCGATGATCATGTTCCGAGTTACACACATCAAGGTTTTCTACACGACTGTTGCCATAATCATAAAATGTCGAAATATGCAATATAAAAAACATATTTAAGAATATTTATCGGTTTATCTTTCATGACAAGAAAAGAATCCGTTTACAGTTTGTAACGAGACGTATGATTTACGCTGGGGAAAAATGTTTCGGTTAAATGAAATATTTTCTTCATGAGTAAATGATGTCCATTGTTAATTTGGAGTAAAACGTATGGTTGTACTATTTGTTGAAACTAATTAGACACGTGAGGAAATTTAAGAAAAACAAAATCAACTTTACGGTTTGATAAAATAATATTTATGAGCAATAGGCCTAAATATGATAGTTAATTCAATAGTTACGTTCGAATATTGGACTACCCGTCTTCAAATTTCTGAGATTTTTTAACAAATGAAGATTTCATTAGGCCGTCATGAATTAGAGTACACTAATGAACACAAAGTGAAAATGAAGGCATTTCTGAATTAAAACATTAAAATTAAAATTATAGTCCACCAGTGAAATGTACCATCCACAACCTTAAATGTTTGTATCTTTCATCATATTCATCCGCACCATACAGTTATTTAGTCCTTCTAGGGCTCATCAGTGATGTACAACCACTGTGACCACAAAAATATTTCATTGATATCAACTATCGAGCTGAAATGAAATATTGAAATGACTAAGCGATAGAGGAAACAAATCGCAATTTTCTATTACTTGTGTATGTTTTAGTAAATTTGAAATGCGGAAGTCGACATATGTCACCCGACACTTATAAACTCGTATTACGCTAGTTTCGTATTATCGGCT